GCGATTTGAATTTTGAATGATGATGGTTGGTTTAGCTTGCGAGTTGAGAACGATGACAGAAACGAGTGATGTCCGGCGGCGGAGGCGGCGTGCGACGGATCTGCTCTTTGAGCGATGGAGGTCGCGGGGTCGGAGCGTCCGACGGCTGGTGAACGCGAGTTCTTGCCTGCACGATGAACAGCGTGTGCGGCATGGAGAGAACTCGGACGGAGCTGACCTGCGGAGTCGAGGTATTGAGCACAACCATGTGTGCTCGGCTGAGTACCTGATCCGGAGCGCCGGAGAAGCCGTGTTGCTGGTCTGCCATCGCGCTTGACGGAGCACGTGGTGCGTGTCCAGTTTAATAAAAAAAGTTGTCGAGGTCACCAATGTGGCGCGCGTAGGTTTAAAAGGATGTGACACAACTTACGCGGCCAACATACAAAAGGTTCGAAATAAATAAACTCGGAGACGATTTTGAGCAGATGAATATTTATTTAAAATTGGACATGAAATTTATGCGTGCGACGAAGCCAGTGGCAAAGAAATGTCGGCGGTGCTCGGAACGGCGTCGTGTGCGTCGGTTGACGGTTGCCGAGCGAGAGCCGTTGGCGGCCGCCCGACACTTCGCGGTCGCGAACGACGCGGAGGGCCGAGCGGTGTTGCCAACGCAGGGAGCGCGACCGATATGGGGAGGGAGTATGTGGTGAAGGCACTGGTTCGCCACATATCTATTGCCTTTTATAACCTCAAAATATTTTTCCAATTAATTCCCGTGTGATAAGGTTGCATGGCCTATCCATTCTTCTATTATCTATACTCTGTTCAAAATAAGATCGTGACCCGGCGGCGACCAGTTTTCGTCGGGCGGCGGTCAGACATATGGCCAGATGCCGTCCCCACTACAGCGACGCGTCGGGCGCAGCCACGGACCAAAGCCACGCCCATGCGCACAACTCGGCCGCCGGGTCACGATCTTATTTTGAACAGAGTATATGCGTATCCGCATTTGCATGTAAATAGCTTAATAGCGATGCTGTTTAATATAATAATACGATATGATCATTATTACACCTACCTATATATTACATTATATTATACTACGAGCACGGGTAGAGGTAATATCTATCCTGACAGGTATATCGTCATTATGATTATCAATCGCTTTTGAGAGATTAAAGCAATTTTGTGAAAACACACGTGTCCAAATTGTATATCTTAAAAACTTTAATTGAAATCATTCAAAGTTTCTAGATAGTAGATAGTCTATTTAAAGAAAAGGTATATGCCATATGGTATACTCCATAGAATGCGATTAGTTATTATAATACATTATTATATTTTGTATTGCACTTGAGCTCGGCTGCAACTATGGTGATTATAGCTATTTTAGGGATTACGGTTGGTAGGGTTAGAATGGTTTGTAAGATTGGTACCACGGTTGAAACTTGGAACGGTAGGTTAGCAATGCGTCGTGCATGTGTGACAACTGACAAGCACGAACTGAGATACACTGTTGACTACACAGGTTCAGACTTCAGATCATAGGTAAACAATACCCCAATCACCTGATCGAGTGTCACTTCTATATTGTCCTATGACTGTTTCTTAGTTCGTAGTGGCCACTTGCAAAGTTTTTGCCACTACGAACCCGCGTGGTCCCCCATCCGGGAACTAGTGGCAGCCGACTTTATTCACTCTCAATCACTTTGAGTGACTGCCAGCAGCCAAGCCAAGCCAAGCTACATGAAAATTTATTATTGTACGATAATTTATCATGATGATTCAACAACGTGAGTGAAAATACTGATATGTTTAATGTGCAAAACTATAATGCGTATGTATACATATTATTATTATTATAGCAATATAATATAATTATTAAGTTATTATAGCACTGCAGTTAATTATTAAAATGTGCATCAGCCATCAATGAATGTGTTACAATATTATTAATGTGTATAGATGTGTGCACATTAATTTATCAATATGTTTTGTCCAATTAATGTTTAATTTACAATATTTGGAAGTTTAAATTAAAAATAAATAAATTACAGCCGTAAAGTACCTACTGAGTACTAAGGTCCTACTTACTGATAAAAACAGATTACATGTTAAAATACGATTAATTTAGTTGTTCTTACTAGGTATAACCAATGTACACGAAAACGTTAACGAAGTCTTATCAAACGATGGAATTTCTATCTTATCGATTTTACTATGAGCAAACCATCGACAGACGACTTGAAATTGATTTATTAACAACTAAATAAGTACCTACCTATAACATAATATTTTTCTATACGCTTCGAAATTTACGAAATTAATAATTATTATTATCCACTCTTCTATTCATAATATATTGTACAAACATTTTGTGTTATTAAAAATTTGCAATATAAAAAAGTGTAATCAAATAACCGAAATGAATTGTATGCTCCTCGAAAATGTTATTAGCGAAATGCGTGTTGATCTTGACGTGTCTTGACGAAACAAGATTAAAATTAATATTATCAAATATTATTTTAAAATGCAGTTAGATTATGGAATTATAATTTACACACTTTTTGTAAAAAATTCGGTATACTTACAGCTAGTACTCATCCTTAATTTATTTTTAGAAAATTAAACTAATTATAATTATTAAAAATGTGATTGCAATTATCACGTGAATATTTGATTAAAAATGCATTTTATTTAGTTCATACTATAAATACTAGGAAGGTACGTTATGGTTTAATTTAATCTATATACAAACATTTCGATTAAAAATGAGTACATTATTATTTAAAGAAAAAGTGAATTACTAAATACAGAGTTGGTAGTTTAATTTTATACTTATTCGAATGCATATTTTATAAGTTAGTTATTCAAATTAATCAGTAGGTATGTAATACTTAAATTTAGTTTTATATCATAATGTAATCAAATAGATCTGAGTTTAGAAAAAATTATAAAAATAAAACCAATAGTATCTCAATTCTCAAGTACCTAAACCTACTACATATTATCAATATTTAATAAATAACTTATAGGTTCATGGTAATCATAAATAAACAATTTGAATCGAGATCGTCTTAAAATGGTAATTATTTAAGTCTTTGCATTTTGAGAACTCAAATAGATTGTTAAACAATAGATTATTTTTTATAAACGATTAATTAACTGCAAAACAATTAGACACAATTTATTGATATGATAATGACAATGAATATTTAACGTAACTTCAAAAAATTTTAAGCTCCCAGAATGACTCAGAATCAGTTTTTTTACTAACGATACAATTTAAAAACGATAAAAATTAAACTAGAATGAAATTGTCGTCTGGTGTCCTTACTCCCAATACGTTGAGTATGCGTATCGTCGGGCGTCGCAAGGACGATATTATTTTGTATTTTTTTTTTTAATAGAAAATGCGTTTACGACCGTCGAGAAAAATGTGAATTCACATATTGTGTACCTAATCGAACGCGGAACAGCGTTTAATATTATGACATACCATTTTATAAGTATAATCAACTGACGTTTTTGTTTATTTTTATCCTGCGTTCAAAGTTACAAACAAGAATCACAGGTGTTTATTATAAAACCATTATGTCGCAATAATAAAATTCATCTAAATACAATTATAACGGTAAAATACGATTGCGCGCATTTTACCTTTTTCATAATACGATTGCACATGTTTTAATGGGACAATAGAACATACATTTTGGGTAAGATATATGTACGATTGCTCGTAAAACTTCATGCGACGTTTCCAAATTGAAAGTAATTTAATTTTGCTTGAACTAAGAGTTTTTAATAATAATTTAATAAATATAATAATAAATTACACGAACAAATCATAAAATACATATAAAAATAAAATACCCTAATATGTTAATTAATGTATACCATCAACAGTCAAAAAATAAAACAGGATTATAATATTATTTTTACAATTTCTGGTGCTAATTCGGTATGCGCTCTACCAACAAGTTTCTGTTTCGGTATGCGCTCTACCAACAAGTGCTGATTCGGTATGCGCTCTACTGAAAAGTGTCTGAGTCGGTAAATTTAAAACGATTATTCACGATCTGAATTTCTTAACCCTGTGACCCACTTGGGGAGGTGTTGCACAGCAAGTCGGGGGATATTTTCGATTTGCGGAGCGGAGCGACGGCGCCGAGGAGCGTAGCGACGAGTGCCGCTAGCACCGCATCACTGTACGATGTTCTTAAAAAGATGAGATAATCTGCAGATAAATACGACATTAGTTATCTTAGAATTTTTATCATCGTGTTATTAAATTTGGCAACATTGCACAATCGTGTAATCGTATTTAACACGCGCAATCGTAAGCCAAAAGGGTATGAGCGCAATAGTAATGCGCGCAATCGTATTCTACCCAATTATAATACCTAACTCTACTTCAGGTCTGCAGTAATCCGCAGTACTTTCACATTTAAAAATATTATTATTGTTATTATTATTATTATTATTATGAAAAAAATGGAACATGTGATGTCGATATTGAAGACCACGTGTAGTTACGAATATAAATTATAGTGGCTTATACCAGTATAAATCAGTGTACGATATGGATATATATTATAACATTAAGAGAAAAAAAATCAGACACTCTATGTATAACAGAAAACACATGTTTAAACTTAAAAATTATCTCTTTACTTAAATTATTTGTTGTTAAGCACATTAATTATAGGTATTTACCTATAAGCTATTTTATTATGAATCATTCAATCAGAAGCTCGTTGAAAAAAAAACAAATTATACAAATCTAGACAATGTTGTTACGATCTCATAAGAAGGAAAAATAATCTATGTTTTATCTTGTTTATAATAGAAAATATAAAACTACCAATAAAACTTTTTAAGCAATATAACTAATTAATCGGTGTTAGTGTAGCGTGCGATCTACCAGCTAGTTTCTGGTGTAGCGTGCGATCTACCAGCTTGTTTTTGGAAATATAAAATATAATTATCATCCACATAATATAAGTTTCGTTTTAGACAATTTAGTCGTCGTTAATTATGTATGTCGCCCGCATATCTTCTAAAAATGCAATGAACAAATCTGGTTGACTTTTCCGCCACATCTTCCAACAATACTGATCCAAATGTGACTGAAGCATATGGATAGGTACGCCTCTCTTTTTCTTCAGTATGGATATTTTTGCATCCAACCATGATCTTTCAACACCCTGTGTGTGCGCACCTGTTAAGGGGTCAACATAATTTTCTTGATGATTAACAGTTTCATGAATGAACCCTTCTGATGTTAAACATCGGTATGAGGGCCACTCATCTGATTGAATGACGGAACCACCTTCACATTCCCTTTTAATAATAGGTAAAAGAGTATCCTTGTCACGGCGTTCTACGTAAAAATACCTACTGTCATTTCCATGCTTGAGACCGAAAACCCACGGTCCATCAACCCTGGCACCATGGTTGCGGTTGTTTTGGACCTGTGCCCCCTCATCCGTATTTTCTGGTGGCTTATCTCCACCTAACATGCGACCACGGTTATATTTTCGACGACCGGCGAAGCGGGCTTCGTCTATTTGAATGGGGTTTGCGTGTGTGCCAAGCATTTTTGTTTTTTTTTTAATTACAGCAGTGCACACTTCACGACACAAGTTATACCAATCGGTGATCGTTTTGTTGGATCTTCCAGTAAGTTCAGCCACCTGATTGAGAGGTATTTCGATGACACACATAAACACTATTTCCATAATCTCCCTAAGTGTTAGATTACATCGATGGCGTAGCGCACAAGTGTGATAAGTGACATTTTTTTGAAAAATGAGTTAAGTGCATAATCAATTTAATCATACAATTCTGCACATTATGCCCAAACGTTGGAAGTGAATAGTTCATTATTTACTCCGATAGATGTCGTACAGTTCGTTACATTTTTGAATTTGTTATGACATCTCAAACTTAAAAATCGCTCTCCTGAACAATTACGAAAATGTCACTTATCACACTTGTGCGCTACGCCATCGACATGTAACTCTGCTATTGAGGTCCGTAAAGTGAAAAAAGGCATTTCCTTGGTGAACTGAACGAGAAGTTTGACAACCTTTTTTTGGGCACCTAATATAGGCACAAATTCACCATTACGGTTCTTCCGTCGTTTTTCACACATTTCTGTGCCACACTTATGGCAAGGGTCAATATTATTCACACCTTTTAAAAGTTGGTGTTCTCGTAAGAATGTAGTGCATTCTTGCTCTGAACTTGCAACACGAATATAAAAATCTTTGAGAAGCATGACGGAACTATCTAACAAAAAAAAAAAAATGACTGAAATAGACGAAAGATCAACGTCGTTTGGATTAATCGCATATGTAACTGCCGTGGGATAAGTGTTGGTGTGATTACTAGCGTTTTTTTGCAGGGAATCGTAAGTACCACGGGTTATGGATAAGTGGCAGTGGCGGTTTTGATAAAACATCAAAGGGGAGGGCTATTTTCAATTTTTGGGCCTCTCCCCACCATAATTAAAGCAATTCAAGCATTTAGTGTACTTTCAATTAAAAAAACGACATGCAAAAAATATCCAAGGGGGGTGAGCGCCCCCCTCGCCCCCCCTAAAACCACCACTGGTAAGTGGGTGGTAACTGTGTGATTTTTGGTGCTGTAGTGCGGCTGTACTCACTTCTTCGGGGTAGAAAGGCGCCTGCAACGATATACAAATGGCGCAACAAAAGTGCGCGGACCCGACCAAGGCCAATATTATCCATTCGGAGAGCGTGAACTTCATAGTGACGGCGCCCACGTGTCCTCAGGGCTCGGAGCAGGTGGTCGTTCCGGTCGGTGTGCGATGATCTATGACGTGCGGCGACGATGGACCACCAAAAATCGTTTCGTTTCGATAATAACAATATTATAATATTTTCTCGGCAGTGACGATGTCGGTGCGTGCCGGTTGCAGCGGTTGGATCGCTGGAAACGACGAATCGATTTGTGAAAAATAGAAAAACAAAAACACACACGCACGGGCGCGCGAAAGGTTTAAAGTTTAAAATATTATATGATTATCGTATACGGCAATAATATTAATATCGTCCGAGTCCGAGTCGCGCTCGTCGTACGATATTATAATTTTATATTATTTCTGATGGGTAACCGATTATCGTTATAATTATCATCGACTATATTATTAACACCTATATAATATAATTTATAATATTATTGTAATATAAAGGATAGTAATTATTTGCACCGCTCACGCACACCGCGGACTGGACGTGTACGATATGAGTGGTGACTGTATATTATAATGTACAAACTTGTCGTCAATTTTAATTCGAAAATAAAAAAGGTGGGTAAGTGGATGTCGCTCTGCTGTACAGTAGGTTACAAGTGGGTCACTGTATAATGGATGCTATTAAATTTGAATTCAATGATATATCATTGTATAAGAAAAACGATTCTGAGCGGTGATGGTATGTCAGTCTAGGTTTAAGATATATTATATACATATCTATGGTATTAAAAAAAATTGACCTATAATAGGTAAGTGGATGTCGCTCTGCTGTACAGTAGGTTACAAGTGGGTCACTGTATAATGGATGCTATTAAATTTGAATTCAATGATATAATATCATTGTATAAGAAAAACGATTCTGAGCGGTGATGGTATGTCAGTCTATGTATAAGGCATATTATATACATATCTATGGTATTAAAAAAAATTTACCTATAATAGGTAAGTGGATGTCGCTCTGCTGTACAGTAGGTTACAAGTGGGTCACTGTATAATGGATGCTATTAAATTTGAATTCAATGATATAATATCATTGTATATAAGAAAATATATAGGTAACTGGATGTCGCTCTGCTGTACAGTAGGTTACAAGTGGGTCACTGTATAATGGATGCTATTAAATTTGAATTCAATGATATAATATCATTGTATATAAGAAAATATATAGGTAACTGGATGTCGCTCTGCTGTACAGTAGGTTACAAGTGGGTCACTGTATAATGGATGCTATTAAATTTGAATTCAATGATATAATATCATTGTATATAAGAAAATATATAGGTAACTGGATGTCGCTCTGCTGTACAGTAGGTTACAAGTGGGTCACTGTATAATGGATGCTATTAAATTTGAATTCAATGATATAATATCATTGTATAAGAAAAACGATTCTGAGCGGTGATGGTATGTCAGTCTATGTATAAGGCATATTATATACATATCTATGGTATTAAAAAAAAATGACCTATAATAGGTAAGTGGATGTCGCTCTGCTGTACAGTAGGTTACAAATGGGTCACTGTATAATGGATGCTATTAAATTTGAATTCAATGATATAATATCATTGTATATAAGAAAAACGATTCTGAGCGAAGACGGTATATCAGTCTAGGTTTAAGATATATTATATACATAACTATGGTATTAAAAAAAATTGACCTATAATAGGTAACTATAATAAATTCCAAATTATTAATCATATCACAATATCCAACAGGTACTTATAACGCGTTATACATCAACAAAAACCGTGATACTTACATAACGTTAACATCGTACCCTAATACTATCATAGATATATAATATAGTGTACTTTAGAAGTTTCAAGTACCCACGAATAGTACCTATTATACACTCACAACAAAATAACTAAAATAGGTATGCTAGGTTTTTAAATATGTAATTTCGTCCCAAATTTGAACTTAAAATGTCTGTAAAAAATAACTGTGCTCATATATTTTTTAGATTTTTTGGCTACAGTATGAACTATTTATGAGAATCTTTTTTTTTAAATTTTTGATCCTTAGCTATAAAAACTGAACATTTTATAATTTATTAATTACGATGATTGATAATTTTCGAGATGAAAATTACGCTTTATGAAAACTACTGGGAAATTTAAATTTTGACCTCCCCAATGCACCAACGATATTCACTTTCCAATCGAACAAGATACTGAAGTTGAAAATCGAAGCATTATTTCGACTACTTATCGTGTACACAGACACAAAAAAAATAAAAAATAAAATAAAAATAAAAAAAAACACATCGTTGTAAAATTAATACATTCATCGTTCACTCAGAATCTAAAAACAATTTTACAATAACGTACTACGCCGTGTTCGACGCGCTCCACAAACCGGGTGTACTAGTCGCGTCCGTCCGAAACTCGATGTCCGCACACGCACGTACACACACAACCACACACACACACGCACTGTGATCGAGAAAACCCGCAGACGGTTACCGATTCGCGATGCGGTAATTCAACAAGTGTAGTCGTAGTAGAGATCTATAAATTGTACTATACGGTACGATTTTTATCGCATTCGTGTTGTCTGTACAATATTACAATAATATAATTACTCTGTTATCACTATAATATTATATTGTTACTATTCGTTCAGAGAGATTATCATAATAATATTGTACTAATGTAATAATAAATAAAAACGTGTACACTAAAATTACATATATTTACCTATATATTAATAATATAATAATATTATTGTGAAAGATAACGACACCGCTGTGCGTGAGAGCTCGTGTTTGGTTCAGTGTGCGTCCGGGTCCGGCGTCCGACCGTCGACGGCGATTCCTCGGTATTGGACGATTTTTTACGGATACCGACGAAGATTCGTAGACGACGACGACGACGACGACAACGACGGTGATAAATATAATTTTGACACATACTGTGATAATGTGTAATAATAATAAAATTATTGACAACTACGATGAATACCCCTCCCCCCGCGGCCTCTTTCACACTTGGCGAGGAGTGCTTTCTCACTCGAGTTATCACGACATAATACAATGTAAAAAAAAAAAATTAGAAAATGTTAAAATGGTTAATTTATAAATTATGTTTGTTGTGATAAACACTTAAAAGGAATAACTAATTATTAAAATTATTTTATTGATGCGTGTAAACATCTATGCTATCGGTTTGTAGTACGACCTTCTTGGGGAATCGAGCGTCAGGCGTAAGTCATGTAGATGTGACTGCTTGAGTGTGTGAGTGTGTGTCGTCGCCATAGCGCTAAAACCGCAGAACCAATAAACCAGGCGAGTTGCTTATCTATTATTTTCTTGGTTATTTTCACGAGTCTGGTAGGTGCGAATGCGCTCTGGTACAGTCATCGGCCGATTCATTATTATTATTAATATTATTTATTACTAGCTCTAAGTATAACTCGGGGCCCGTTGGAATCGCTGAGAGTGGGTACCGATTTTGGAGACAATGAATTATAAAAGTCGCAAAGGTTGTAAGACGAAAGTTTAGGATTTGTGATAAGGATTATTGATATGGATTGGAGATAAGGCTAGACGCTTTGGCGGGAATGTTAAAAGTTTGAGTGTCTAGCAATCCGTCACAAACGTTGTAAATGGATAGGCTGGATACGATCTCCAGGATCACCTATATAGAGTATAGCTGCACATAGAGTGGTATGTGCCGTAGCATGAACGGTGCTTTATCTTATGTAAAAAGTGTAAAGTCGAAAACCGTGTTGGAGTTTCTAGCAAGTCAGTCATCTCAAGTCAAAATCTATTAACTTTCAAGTTAGCCACTTAGGTAGGCAATCCGACTTCGTCGGATCGCGGACTATGTGCCACAGCAAATCAGGTAGGCAATCCACCTGCGGTGGATTGCAGACACGACATCAAGCGGCTATAAGTGAAAACCCTATCACACAACTTACGAAATTATTTACGAAAAATTCAAACTATATACAATATACATACAAACAAATATGATATGTATTTATTGTGTGATATAATATAACAATAATGAACACTTTGAGAAATGAGCAATTATAATTCCTAAAAAAAATTAACATATAGGTAGATAGTTAGATACATACTATTATATTAACCAATACAATACATATAAACACTACCTATTACCTATAATGTATATATATTAATTTTAAAAAAAAATGCAAAAACCAGCATGTTAAACTATTAAAGTGTCTGTCAAGTTTGTATAAAATACAAACTATATTTATATAACAATCATGGACTTTTTGAAAAAATATGCAATTATAATAATTCCTAACAAAACAAATATAATATGTACCTATTTATTGTGTGATATAATATGACAATGACTTTAAATAATAATAATGTACGATATGTTCCTGTATTATTATATTATTATTTAATTTATATGAAAAATAACGTGAAAAAAAAATGCAAAAAAAGTAGGGTTTCGGGCGGCCGTGTAAACCTTATGGCATTGACGGTTACGACGCCCGAACAGCGTACGACGGATATATCGAACCCGGGACCTACGTGTTTTCTACCTAACGCCTTTGAGATAAGAAGTACGGTCAAAACATCAACACTTAAGCCGTGCGTCTACGGAGCGACGTAAACCGATATATTTTCCATGATTATCGATGTAATCGCATATAATTCGCTTGTAATACGCGCATCTCCCATATATATATTTAACGGGGCGTGTGAAAAGCGTTTTCCGTTAATTATTAAATCATAGGGAAAAATCAAATTATACACGTATATATATATAGGTACATGTATATATACGCGTACGGTCGGTCGGTCGCTTCTAAACGCGATTGCGAGGCGAACGAACCGATTTCGGGGGAAAAGCGCATATAAACGGCTTTAAAAAGACGTCGACTACACGATTCGGGCACAAACGGCTTGCGAATAGACGAAACGGTGGGAGAAAAGGAAAAAATCGTCAAAAAAGTCCGGTCGGAAGTGTATTTTTCGATCGACATTGCGACCGCTTCGGACGGCGCACGAATATAAAACGCACACCGGCGGCTTCGAATTAAGTATAAAAAAGGGCGAAAAGAGTCAAAATCGTGTAAAATAGCTAATTTTCCGAAAATTTCAAAAATCGGTGAAATGATAGGAAAACAGGAGATAACGAAAAACGTTTTAAAACCGACCGCCGCCACTGCGAAGGTACGCGATTGGTCGCGCTATAAGGAATCGACGGTACATGGCCGGCGTGCTGGGGAAACGGAGCGGTGTTTCATTTTTTACGCCACGGTTTCACTATAGCCTGCGTTTTCCTTTCCATTGGTACACTTTAGACAGCTGATTTCCTTGTCATTTTATAGTATAGGATTATTATGATAATCTCTCTGAACGAATAGTAACAATATAATATTCTAATAATATAATATTATAGTGATAACAGAGTAATTATATTATTGTAATATTGTACAGACAACACGAATGCGATAAAAATCGTACCGTATAGTACAATTTATAGATCTCTACTACGACTACACTTGTTGAATTACCGCATCGCGAATCGGTAACCGTCTGCGGGTTTTCTCGATCACAGTGCGTGTGTGTGTGTGTTTGTGTGTGTACGTGCGTGTGCGGACATCGAGTTTCGGACTCTCTAACAATATACTTAAAAAAAAATAAATAGGTATAAATATAATATAATATAAATACATTTTAAAAATAATTTTTTATCTATATTTACCTAAGCGTCCTATGCGGGCCACGGGCCGGTTAAAACTTGTTCGCCGGCCGTAGTTTGGAGACCCCTGCCTTATACTATGCAGTATGCGGTACGAACTCGCTTAGCCACTTGATGTAGACCTGTGGGGTGCCGCGTGGATGGTGGATGAAGGTGGCAAAAGAAAAGGCAGGTTCAAAAAAAAACAAAAAAAAGAACACAACAAAACGACGCACTGGTGTAGTTTAAGTTTTTTATTAGTGTTTAAGTAGATAATCTTATGAGGATTCTTGTATTCCTATTTTAAAACTTAAGATTTAAAAAGAAAAATTTTTACGAATTCTTAACTCAAAATAATTTGATAATTTTCGTGATTTTTCCATATTTTGTCAATTTTTGTGCGAGACATACTATATTGTACGTGTGCCATCACCCCGTCATTCTTGCGAGACCGTCGACTCTTTGTCGATTACTGATAGTCGTTGCGATCCGCGTACGCGGTCTTCACGTCTTGGTTCTCCCAGTCCGCATAAGTCCGCCAGCATCCGGCGTGGTGTGTGTGAGGCTGCACTGGTCTGCCACCTTGCTGCCCCGCTGCTGCGTAAGTCCGCCAGCACCCAACTGAGGGTGTGTGAGAGGCCGCCACGGTCGTCCAGTCGCGACACTCACCGACGAATCTATCCGCCCACTGCACCTGCCTTAATTTAATTAATGTTAAGTAATAGTTAGTAAGAAATGCCCGATTTTATGTGAGTCTCGTCGGTCATTGCACCACACCGAACTGACCAAGAGGACAACCCCACCCAACACTTATTAGACTGAATTCCATGTTCCGTTGTATAAACTGCTTCCGTCCTGTCTTAACATCCGTCTTTTCGCCACAGGTTGCCGGTTCTATGTTTTAGGCATAGCATCAGGTCTGATAATTTGCCTACCCACTCAACTTTAAGGGGCATATCGATCCTGTAAGAGAAGTTGCCTATACACCACCCCTTACGGGTATAAAGTGTCCCGTCCGATCGAACGACACGTCGTTTTTAGATCCAAGTAGCACCTTTGCCCAATACATTTTGGTCCTTCAGGCCGGATCACATTATTAAAGAAAATTGTGATCTTGATTATACAGTCCACTATACATTTTATTGCCGTTATCCTATTCTGCCAGGTGTCAGTTAGCGTTGTTTCATTAGACACTGTATTGATACTGTAGTTACCTCTGAGAACTCGTTCCCCGAGTTTGTTCTTACCATCCTTGTTTTTTAACTATAGTATCTGTCGGTTAACTAGACAAAATGACTGTCCCCCAATCAATTCAGTACATTGACGCTAAAGGCAGAGTGAATAGGGCGTTAGCAAAATTAAACACTTTCGTAAAGGCTTCCAGCGAGTATAATAATGATAGATCAAGTGTCAGTAAACGTGCCAAGATACGGCAGATGCTGAGTGAGCTGAGTGAGATTCGTCGCCAGGTTGAGGACGACGTCCAAATAATGGAAACATCTGTTGGTCAAAAAACTGCCCCTATTGATGTTACTGACAATCAATGTAGTACTTTACTAATTGAGTCTTTCGATACACTCTATTACGAACTTGCTGCGTTTGCGGATGTCCATTCATTTTCATTATCAAAATCGAACAATTCAGCCTCCAATAACACAGTCTTAAACCAGTCAAGTGGTATCAACAATTTATCAATGTTTCAACTGCCCAAGCGCAAGCTTCCAACTTTCTCTGGTAATATTGTTGAGTGGCAAGGGTTTGAGGATCTTTTTCCGTCTATTTTATCTCATGCTCCTGAGTTATCAGACGTAGAAAAATTTGAACTCTTGAAAACGTCCCTCGAAGGTGAAGCTCTCTCTCTCATTTCTCATCTCGCGCTCACTTCAGCAAATTACCAAAGTGCTTGGGATCTTTTGCGAATGAGATATGGAAATAAACGGGATCTGGCACGGATACATCTTGACGCGCTTTTGCAGCCTCCTGAAGTGAAGTGGAATGATTCTTCATCAATTAAAACTGCGATTACTACAATCCTGGAGCATACTTCAGCGTTGGATAATCTTGAATTCGTAACTCGTGATTGGAGTCCTATACTAATACACCTTTATGAAAATCAACTCGATTATGAACTGCGTTCTCGTTGGGAGCTTCTTGTCGGAGATAAACAAAACCCCTAAATTAGTGAGTTTATTGATTTCCTGCGTAGCCACGTACGCTCAGCAGAAGTACATCAGTTGAAAGGTTCTGCCACCCCGTGTACCTCAACGAGAAATCATAATAAACCACCTCAACCAAATAGTAATAAATCACGATACGGACCCAATCAAAAGGTGTTATCTGCCACGTCAAGTCAAGCACCGACTGTGTGCTGTACGTTGTGCAAAAAAACACATTCTATAAGGAAGTGTCAATTGTTCAGTGATCAGACACCCAGTGAACGTTTTAAGATGGCCAAAACGCATCAATTATGCATTAACTGCCTTGGACCTGGCCATTCACCTTCGGCGTGCCGATCAAAGTATAAATGTCAAACTTGTTATAAGTCACACCATACCCTTCTACACTTTGATGCCTCAACTAGTGCACAGCCCGGTCCCTCAGAACCAGCTGAACCGATATAAAGTGTCCCGTCCGATCGAACGACACGTCGTTTTTAGATCCAAGTAACACCTTTGCACAATACATTTACTGTCCTAAAACGTGATGACTGACACAAATTTAAAAAAATAAAAAAATAAAAAAAAATTTTAAAAAAACACACATCATTGTAAAATCAATACATTCATCTTTTCACTCAGAATCTAAAATTAAAAAATTATTTACCTATATCAAAAAAAAAAAGGTGGGCAAGTGGGTGTCACTCTGCTGCACAGTAGGTTACAAGTGGGTCACTGTATAATGGATGGTATTACATTTGAATTCAATGATTTTATATCATTGTATAAGAAAAAACGATTCTGAGCGGAGACGGTATGTCCTTCTAGGTATAAGACATATTATATACTTATCTATGGTGTTAAAAAAAATTGACCTATAATGAATTCCAAATTAATCATATCACAATATCCATTAGGTACTTATAACGCGTTATACACCTACAACAAACCCTGATACTATCATAGATATATAGTAGTATACTTTAGAAGTTTAAAGTACCCACGAATAATATTATACAATCACAACAAAATAACTAAAATAGTTCTTCTAGGTTTTTTATTATGTAATTTCGAAAAATTTGAATTTAAAATGTCTGTAAAAAATAACTGTGTTCATATATTTTTTAGATTTTTTGGTTACAGTATGAACTATTTATGGGAACTTTTGTTTTAAATTTGCAATCCTTAGCTATAAAAACTGAACATTTTATAATTTATTAATTACCTACAATGATTGATAATTTTCGAGATTTTGATAAATTTTGTCAAAATTCGATCTTTAAATGCTTATAAAAAAAAAAAATTGTGCCTATGTATTTTTAATATTTTTCAATTGTTATTGTAACAATATATCAGGAGCCTTGTATTAAATTTTTACACTTTTTGGCCCAACAGATAAATTTTATTGATATTTATAGAAAAAATAAACTGAAAAAATTGAAAACTGAAAATGTCCGTAAACAGCTCAAAAAGAGTCAAAATATTTTCAAAATTGTATGGTGTATAGGAAATGCTAATATAAACATTCAGTGAAATTTTCATGTATCTACAGTTATTCGTTTTTGAATTACAACAAAATAAGGAAATCGCTACATGAGAAATCGAGTGAAAATCCAATGTTGTAAAAATTTGAATTTCAAACGATCATAAAAATTTAATTTGACTGTCCGGTAGAGATTTTTTTATTGATAAAGGTAGATAATCTTATAAGGAATCTTGTGTTTCATTTTCAAATCTTAGATTTAAAAAGAAAAATTTTTACGAATTCTTAACTCAAAATAATTTGCTAATTTTCGTGATTTTTCCATATTTTGTCAATTTTTGAACTTTAAATGCTTATAAAAAAAAATTGTGACTAAGGATTTTTAATATTTTTCATCTGCCTTTGAAAAAATATACTAGGAGCCTTCTATTAAATTTTCAAGCTTTCGCAACCAACAAATAAAATGTCATTGATATTTTTAGAAAAAAAACTAAAAAAAAATGGAAAATGAAAATGTCCCTAAACAGTTCAAAATAAATCAAAATATTTTGAAAATGTTATCGTGTATAGAAAATGCAAAATATAAACAACCAGTGAAAATTTCATGTATAATATACGTTCATTTGTTTTAGAGTTACACCAAAAACCAAAATCTATTTTTTGGATAACCGATTTTGCGTAAGAATTCCCGTTTTTCCTTAATTTTTATGTTGTTTTTTCCCGGCGCTTGTGAAAACTACTGGTAAATTTTTACTTTTGACCCCCCAAAGTACCAACTAGATTCACTTTCCTATCAGAAAAGATACTGTTGAAGAAAATCCAAGCACTTTTACTGTCCTAAAACGTGATGACAGACACAAAAAAAAAAAATAAAAAAAAACACACATCATTGTAAAATCAATACATTCATCGTTTCACTCAGAATCTAAAAAGAACAACTTATCAATACACAACCCGGTGTATTTGATAAGTTCCTTAGTAAAACATCTGTAATATTGAAGATAAAATAAATGAAAATAATTACGGGGAAATAGAAACAATAGTAGTTGGAGGAATGGTATACCTTTAAAGACCAGTTTGAAGCTATGGTACATAATAATCAAAACATTGATAATACACAAAGGATGCATCATCTGAGGAGTAGCTTGACCGGGCAAGCAGCATCAGTCATATCATCAATGTCATCTGATGCTCATAGTTATATAGAAGCATGGAATCTGATCAAAGGTCGGTTTGACAACAAACATCTAGTGTGGCACTTTATTACCTTTGCAGCTACACTACACACAAATTGGTTCAACCCACGCTACCGAGCCGAGACGGGGTTTCATCGATTCCGCCAGATCTTTTTATACTAGGGGATAAGGTATATCGATTCCACCACCATCGATTCCGCCAGTACAGGTAGTCTAAAAACAACCTATCAATTCCGCCAGGGAACAAATAAATCTCCCAAACGACAATTATTATAGTCAATTGTTTATTGTAATGGTAGATTTATGAATAAATTATGAAGCTAAAAAAATTAATCATTTGCATTTCATTAGTTTGGCATCATCAAATTATAAAAAATAATACTGTACAACTTAAAACTATATTTGTTTTGTGTAGGTATGTATATTATTATATATTGTATATAAACAAATAATAATATTGTACAACTTTTGACATTTGACAACATCATATATGTAATATGTATATAATGTAGGTACACATGATAAAAATTGTATCAAATTTTATTTGTATTTTTTTGTATATTTAATATTGTATTGTATTAATTATTAATTTATTTTTAATATTTAAATTAATTGTTAAATTGTTTTGTAGATATATTATTATTATCATAACAGAGATAGCTAGGTAGAGACAGCTGTAGCAGGTTGAGGTAAAAATTGGTGGGTGGCGGAATATAACGTGTCTCAACATTTAAAAACTGACAAACATCTCAAGGGCATTAATCGATGTAAAGAACAAACACAAAGAAAACAATAACAATTAATGACTGTTAATATCTCTAAAAAATCATTTAATAAAGATTTGTGTGAAGCTCTAATTTCCGCAAACATTCTGTAAATAAACTGTCAAACCCACATTTCATTTTTTTTTTTGTAATAAATTTATAATTATAATTTTTTCAAGTTAAATGCATATTTTTTGATTTTTCGTGCTATTTATAGCGCATATTTTGGAGTTTTTTAGTGCTTATTAAGGAGCTAAAAATTACCATTTTTAGTGCCACAACTTCCGAGCCCTGGCACTAATAAGGAATGCCTTGCACTCAATGACAATGTGTCAATGTCAAATAGATATTTTAATATTAATATCATGTTTTTTTTTTTTTTTTTATTTGGCATAAACAATCTATACTATTTGAAGCACAATAAGTTTATATAATAAGAGTAATAGAATATGATTGTTTTGAATAAGCAGCCACCCATTAGTGGTTCTTGGCTAATGATAATTTTTTTTTTTTTTTTTGATGTGTAAACATCTATGGTATCAAACCGATACTTAAAAGGAATAACCACGATGTAGAGAAGATAAGGTGACACCACTTGTACATATTCCGGTCGCAAATTTTCTCGGCAGTGTGGTAGGTAGCGCCACCATTCGCCCGAAGGCCGGTTTTTATATTGTGAATACATTGTTTTTAACGTAAAATTTCAAAAATTATATACATTTTTGTCGTTTTTGACACTATTACTTCAAATTTATAATATTAACCACGTAAGAATTATTTTTAGGTAATCATTCTATTCAATTAGGTAACATTTAAAATAGTTTAAATTAAGAAAGTTTTATTATATAAGTATTTTATTTCAACAACTTTATGTACACGGTTATATAAGTTTCGACTGCTTCGCTAAATTTTTTTGTCTTTTATTTTTTTCTCGATTAGCATTCTCTGCATCACATACAAAATACATTCTTGATTGTAAATAAAATGTTATAATATTTTTGGTCAATGCATTTGCATGTTCATCACAACCGAGTAAGTTAATATTAAATTTTTCTGTTCTTAGCTCATCTAATATTAAAAATAATAAATTTTTTTGGATTTTAGTTCTTGCAATAATTGAGCAAATGGCATCTTCAAGCTAAAACAAATAATAAAGGAAATTATTATTAGTTAGTATACAAATATATTATACATATGCAAATTGTTTGCATATTTATATTTATAATATATATTTATATATTATATTATTATATTACTTGGTAAATAATTTCATAAAGTTTTTTAGATGGTACAAGTAAATAACCACGAGTTTTCAATTCTAGGAGTTTTTCTCTATCTTGTACTTCATGATTATCTGGGGCACACAACATGGTGTAACATTCCTGACAACATTTGGCAGGTTTTACTCTTCTCATCTTCCTTGCAACATAACCACTTAATACAGTTAAAGCATCTTCATTTATTTGGAGAGCAGTATAGTCATGATCAGCTATTGAGATCAAATTATCGACTGGTATTTCATGAACATTGTCGAGTATGTCATCAATTTTATTTTCAAAATCAATCTTTTTATTATAATCTTTTTATTGCAATTAAGCTATATTTTGATCTGAAATTATAATTTATTAAAATTGTATAAATAGTTTACTTTATTAAACACATACAAATATGTATCATTAATAATGCCCTTTTAGAGGTACTTAGGTGGTAAAGAAAATTATACAAATGTTTCCCTCAAATAAATCTCTATAGTAGGTATTTAAAAATTATGACTCACCTTTGGTGCACGAAATAAAATAGGTGGTTTTTTATTTTCTACTTTTAACTTTTTGTTGTAACTGGCATAGCCAGTTTTGCATCCTGGCACAAAACATTTGTTTGGCATTTTTTAACAAAATAAGAAAGTATATACGAAATATTATTAAACAATCCACAGGGCACAGACCATTAAGGGAGTCTTAACTCTTAAGACTTGTGTAAATACAAACAATTATGTAAATTAAAATTAAAAATAGAATATTATCAATTACTTATACTACTTATATTAGGTTTATATTATTATTTTAACTGATAATATATTCTATTCTCTATTGTAAATATTATATTTTCTCTACATCATTGCTTAATATTTAATTTTTTTTTTGTTATTATATATCAATATCATATGGGTACCTATAATTATGATTTTTATTTAGGTGTACTTGGGTCAGTAGCTGGTAGACGGTAGTAGTACCTATATATTTTGAGTTTTTATTAACAGTTTAAAGTTTAAACTCGTCCTTATCCATACTTATTGTACGTAGATATTACTAATTCCATTTTTGTACATATATGTGTCAATTAATAAATAAACATATAAATATCATAAAATAAATATGCATTTTATTTAAATCAATAAATTTATACGATATGGCTACATACCATATAATATTATTACAATTTTTACATAATAATTGGTACATGATTCCAAAACATTAGTTTATTTTAATAATCTATACAATATAACATAAAATATATTATGTTGGCAAGCTGACTATCGACATTTGAACAACAATAATTAATACATTTAAATAAAATTTAAATCTATCTCCATTACGACTCGTATAAAAGTCGGCCTTCGAACGAAGGGTGGCGTACTCTGGTGTTAAATTCTGAACTACCAAACTGCCGTGATTTTTTGCGCCAATATTGTACCATTGAAAGATACGGGAGCGGTGTCACCTTATCTTCTCTACATCGTGGGAATAACTAATTATTAAAATTATTTTATTGATGTGTAAACATCTATGCTATCGGTTTGTAGTACGACCATAGATAATAAATACATGGATAGGACGCCTCAAATTCATTACGTATTAGTTTTGCGGTCCAACATAGATAAGAAATTGAGGCGATTTGTTTACATTTTTTGTTGACAGTCGATACTCCATATAGATATACTTTATTTGGCCTCAATTATTCCCCTGAAGACCGCTGATAAGACCATTATGTCCTATCCATATCTTTATTATCTATGAGTACGACCTTCTTGGGACTTGGGGAAACGAGCGTCAGCCGTCAGGCGTAAGTCATGTAGATGTGACTGCTTGAGTGTGTGTGTGTGTGTCGTCGCCATAGCGCTAAAATCGCAGAACCAATAAACCAGGCGAGTTGCTTATCTATTATTTTCTTGGTTATTTTCACGAGTCTGTTGGCCAATTCTTGAAATTGTGATAAGCTGTGTCGCATGCGATAAAAAGTTTATCGCATGAAAATAAATATTTGGTATTCTTGAAAAGATATATGACTTTAGTCGAACGAAAAACATTCGACTGTTTGTCTACTGGGTATAAGTCAGTGACAAACTTTAGTCGCATGATAATGTATGAAATGTGATAACAATTTTTACATTATCGATTATTATAACATGATTATAACAGAAATAAATATTATTACCGATTCTCATCGATCATCGATTTGTCAATTTGTCATTTTAGTTTTGTAAATTACTTTGTATTAATCGGCCAGTCTCTAAAATATCCAATTTTTCGTGCTATACAAATAGTCTTAAATCGATAAAATCTAAATAAAAAGTCAATGCTCTAAATTATACTTCTTCAACCAATAACACATAATATAAATTAAATAACATTATATACCTAAAAATATATTATTTCATTACTGTGAACAAAATTAAATTATTGCTAATTTATTTATATATTAATTTAGCCAAATTTACTCAACATTAATAGCTACATTTTCAGAAATATTTTTACTAGAATTTAGTTGAAGTTACCAATAAAAATAATTATAGTATCAATTAATAATATAAATTTACAATCAATTACTTTAATGTTTTTAATATAATATATCAGTGATATTTTTTCATTTATATAACTTATTTTTAGTGTACAAAATGCATATAAATAATAATATATAATATTAATAAATAAATAAAATTAAAAAAAAAGGTGGGCAAGTGGGTGTCGCTCTGCTGTACAGTAGGTTACAAGTGGGTCACTGTATAATGGATGATATTAAATTTGAATTCAACGATATAATATCATTGTATAAGAAAAACGATTCTGAGCGGAGACGGTATGTCAGTCTATGTTTAAGACATATTATATACATATCTATGGTATTAAACAAAAAATTGACCTATAATAGGTACCTATAATAAATTCCAAATTAATCATATCACAATGTCCATTATAGGTACTTATAACGCGTTATACATCAACAAAACCGTGATACTATCATAGATATATTATATTATAGATATATTGAGTTTCAAGTACCCACGAATAATATTATTCAATCACAACAAAATAACTAAAATAGTTATTCTAGGTTTTTTAATATGTAATTTCGTCCAAATTTGAATTTAAAATGTCTGTAAAAAATAACTGTGTTCAT